GTAGCTTTTGCTACAGAACAAGAAGCCCAAAGAGCTATTAGAGGAAAGCTCTATATTCTAGGGCAGAGCCTTAGAGCAGAGAAACTAAGAGTTATTAATAACTCTAAATAGTGCTCTAAATGCCAAGGTTTTGGGCACCTAGAGGCTAAATGCTCTAAAGTAGCCTGCCAGATCTGCAGCGAAGCCCACCACACTAGCCTCCACAAGTGTAATTCTTGTTTAAGCAAAGGCAAGCCTTGCGTTCACACTATCTTTAAGTGTGTAAATTGTAGCAAGCCTTTGTTACGAACCTAAGGAAGGGAACAGCACAAAGATAAAGAAAGAAGAAAGGAAGAAGCCCATGTCAAGGCCTCACGAAATAACAAGAGCATATAGACCAATGACGCATAAGCGCCCCGCGTCCCACGGTCTTGGCGGAACGCCACTATGAGACAAGTCACGTGTGTCCCACGGATCCCACGATGTCCCACGAAGTACTACGCATGGGACAACATGATATATGTAGGACAATATAGAACATAGGACATTCTTTTAGTATATAGCATAGGCATTAAGCCCTTATAGCTTAATATGTTTAACTTAAGTTTTAAGTACAAGTACAATACAAAGAGTTATTCTACTTGCACGTTACTATCCTCGTTTGTGTAACGATGTTACAACTTCGCCAAGTATTGAGCCAATCCCAGAGCCGGATCGGAGGAAGTACCTGCCGCCCTTCATCAGCCATTCGCCCGAGGTCGGATCCGAATTCGGACCCGACTAGGATAGGTATATATTGAGACTCTCCCTGTAGCTAGCTCTGTAGACTTTTGATATCCTTTCGTACAAGGCCTATAGGTGGCTTGTTAAATCTAGGCTCTTTGTGATCCCACGCACTCCCATATGCCTCTGAGTGATCCTACGACCGAAACAGATCCGACCTGCCTTACCTGCGCCGTTACACTTTCTTTGTAGTCTCTCTTTTCATATAGAACTAGCATGGCTTAATGCAGTTACAGTCTGGCGAGTTTCCACACTAAAGTAGTCTCTTAACGTCGTACAGGCGATAGATCACACCCTAATAGTGGTGGGCGTGGCTAGGTGCCTTATCCTCCATTACGACAGTCCAAGGTCTATCTTAGAGGCACTCTTTAGCAAAAGGAATTAGCTTTGGAATTAGAACGCAGGCCTAATATCTCCACTAGTCTATACCACCTCCAGACTTACGCACCAGCTTACCTGTCTTCTCTGTCCATCTCCATTGAGGCTTCCTGCCACGCTTATTGCGTAGCCCTGTCCTTCTCATAGACTCTAACAGCTCCCATTCCTCTCGCTGTAGAGGCTCAAGCTTAGCGTTTAGCTGCTCAATCCAACGAGCAGCATCCTCTCTCTCTGCCTTCGTCTCTAGCTAGTAGATATAGCATAGACCTTTCTTATTATACAAGAAGCAGCCCTAGAACATAAACTTAGAGTATCCCTTCCACCTCTTACGGATGTAGCTCTTAACTACCCTCTCGTCTGCCTTTCTCCAGACTCTATAGCCCCCACGTCAGTGGTTGATCACCACTAACGTCTCGTCTGTCTAGATGACATTCTTCTAGTCCTCTAACGTCTAGTCCTTATACTCTAATGCCTACTTAAGACGAGCACTCCTTATCTCCTATGTTAACCTAGGCTTCCTCGTTAGCTTAGTCTTCCTATATCCTGCTACTCTCAACACCCTCTAGACGGTAGAGGCAGAGATTTCGACTCCTTGGAGACTAAGCCCACTAGCAAGGTCAGCACAGCTCTTCTCTCGTCCATATCTATCGTGTCGTACTTATTACAATATCTGCTCCTTCACCTCTGCCTGCTTAGTAGGCCTACTAGGCTTTAGAGCATCCTTAACGTAGTGTAGAAGAATCTTAATAAAAAGGTTGTTTAGCTTAAAGCCTACAGCAATAGCTCTACTATAGATATAATCTATAGTACGAGGATAAACGCTAGTTAGCGCAAAGACTTATAAGGTATTCTTACTAATAGAAGGTAATTTTAACGCAATTACTAAGGTATAGGTATATATATTAGTATAAGGAGCTATAGTTAAAGGATAACTATATAGTAGTAGGCAGACTAATTAGACAGCCCCTTAACTTTAAGGTGGGAGTTGCGCTAAGAAGAGTTGTGCCGAAGCGCCGAGATTAGCGTCAGACAATACTTTAGAAAGGCACCTCCGTACAAGTATACATACTATACATGCGATAGCTGATAGCACTGGTTTCTATATATAGCTGTGTGTACTTTATGCTGTTATGTCATGTCATCTTATATTATGCTGCACACATATATCCATCAACACGTGTTTGTTTTTTTTCTGACGTAGAATACGGATTTAGGCTTCTTCTGTAGCACATGTGAGCCAACGAGGTTGTGTTGAGATTTGTATTAGATAATCAAGTTCGAGTGTGTAGTTGATACTCGTAGTTTCCTCTGGATTGATTAGGTTCGTCGTGCAGATACTGAGATGGATAGCTGTGGTTGGGATTCCTGTGTTTGTATGCAACAAGGTAGGCTGGCTGTGTGCATGAATAATAAGCATAGTAATAAATTAAGAGTTGCTAAGATAATAACGATAATGATATATTATTATTCATCATGTCTGACCAAGATTTTTCTTCTCGTAACCTTGATGAAAAGGACCGTGTGCTAAATGTCTCTCACATCACATATTGTGAGCTCGCATTCTAAACCACATACACACAAATAGACGGCCTAAACTAACACACTGTACACATGTAAATAATAAGTCGCTCATTTCTTCCCAATGCTGAAGCCTCTAGTCATGAAATCCGCACTATTACCTGCAGACGTCTTGTGCTCTTTCTTTGAAAACAAACTATTGACGTTGTCGCTTTGAGCCATTTTCCGCCTCTTATTCCTTTCTTCCTGCTCCTCGAGCACTTTGCGCGTGAGCGATGCGGTTGCGCTGTTCTTGATACCGTCGCTCGCTGCTGCTGTCGTTGTAGATGGCTTTGCTGTGCCGTTTTCTTTCTTCGTCTTCTTGTCTTCGTCAGAGGAGGAGGAGGAGGAAGGTTTCGCCAATGTGCTGGTTTCCGATGCGTCCTTTTCGGCGTGCTTCCGCTTCTTCTTGCTACCGGGTGCCTTTTTCAGTGCATGTGTAAGACCCTTTTCCTTCAACGTTTTTAGACGCAGATTGAGGCGCGCAATGTCGGTGGGCGCAGTAGGAAGAATCGGAATAACGTCGTTTTCGGCGTAGGCTTCGTTGCACTGCGCCTAGTTAGTCGTTGCGCAAAAGGGGTAGGGGCACAACGTACCGTCAGGCAAACACGCTCAGAAACCTCCTTGACCACACTTCCTGCAAATGCATGTCCACAAGGCACAATATACACTGCCTTGCTCCCAGCGCCCAGTCTCTCTCCCTTAATGGGACACTTCCACCTCTCATTAGTATCTTTTGCGCCAACTTCTCCACCCATCTTCTCCTCGACCTCAAACTTGACTTCAACAACGTCTTTCAGCCCCTTTACTCTATCCCCAAAAGTCCCCAGTTCCGAGTCTTTCACACCCCCAACCTTCTTCATCTCTGCCTTTTCCACATGGCCATCTTCTTTGAGCAGAAACTCGATAATCGAGTCTTTGTTATAGAGCACTCCCGCTGCATCAGAGACTACAGGCCGGGCGAGGGGTTTGCGCGTAAGGGGATCGGTGGACCAGGCGTATTCTTGTTGTTCGGTTTGCGCCTCTTTGATTTGGGCTGTTGTGAGGGCTTTTGCGGCTTCTTTGACAAGCTCGCGGCGTTTAGGAATCGAACCGCCATCGTTGCCCATCCTGAATAATTGTGCGCTGGGTATGTGTGTGGTGTTGTGGTGGTGGTGGTGAGTTGATGTACGGAGTCGCGCGAGGTTGGGATTGCGGCGAAGGCGCGGAGGTTCGAGTAGTTTTGGGACGTGCACGTGCCATTGCCGGTAGGATACACCTTCACGTTCATGGGTTAAGAGAACAGTATAGTAGTATTGTACAAAGTGCTTCGTATCTTCGTTACAAAATATCATGAGTGGTATAATGCTACATGTCTGTCGTAGCCGACGAGACTCTCATCTTTCGCCGTTGTGGCCTCTCCACCTGCTGCATCCACTGCTTCTTCCACTCCGGCTTGTTATCATTCTCCTCTTCCTCTGCTTCTCCCGGTCTAGTCTCGTTTTGAAGATAACGGTGCCTATCTCCCTCTTCCAATGAGCCCCGTGATTGGATCTTTTCCTTTGATCTGGAGTGCCCGTCTTGAAATAGTATCCTTTGAATAAAAGCAGATAGTCGCGCCCTCTCAGCCTTGAATGGGGTCTTCATCTCCTCGGAGACCAAGTTGCTAAATAGCAACTTGTCATACACACCATGAATCTTTCTAATTGCAGTAATGGCATCTTGTCTCTCCTCCCCTTTCAACGACCGAGTTACAGCATTTTTATTGTATTTTGTCGGGGCAGCACCAACACCCAGCTGAATGCGAATGCTCTTGGCAAGGGGGCGGAGAATAGTAAGTGCCTCGATCAAGTCGGAACCCTTGGCGAGAGGAAAGCTGGTTGCGAGCTCCGCGTATAAGGTGATGGTCTTTGCATCTGCATCCTCCAAAGTCTTGAACATCATGTTCAGAATGCGACCGGCGTGCCTGAGGGAGTTGTGGTTATTCTTGTCGCGGACACAGGTACTCATGGCGATTCTGAATGTGCCAGGTCGAGGCTTGACGCCCTTCTCCATCATGTCTTGCTCCATCAATTGGACGGCAGCAGCAGAGGCGCGGTTTTGACGAAGGTTGCGTAAACGCATGTGCAAATTATCAATGTCCGGGACAATCTTGTAGGTCCGGGGATCGGTTAAGAGGTCCCAGTATTCCTGTGCGGCCTTATTCGCGACAATCTTCTGGCAAGCTTCTTGAATGACAGAGAGAGTGTTATTGCCTGGCCAAACATACGCAAGTGGATTGGATAGAGCACCATCCGAATCTCGTTTTATAGGAAGGAACTCGTCACCACGCACGGGGGTATTGTCAGGCGAAAGGTGATCGTCATCGACACGGTATTCCCGTGGTACGTTGGGAGCTCGTAAACGTGGGAAACCTGCGTTTTGCCGCTCTGTAGTGCCTAGTCGGGGAACAAGTCGTGGAATATCCATTGTCTGCTCAACCAAAGAAAGCACGTCGTCCCAGTCTCGCGGTCGGCTACCAATTAGCAGCAGTCTGGCCATTGCGCAAACCAGCTCTTCATCAATCATCAGGTCTGCGCTCCCCCACCTTCTGATGATATCTTCCCACATGAGCCGGGCTTCCACGATGCCGCGCTCTTTACGTGCGGCAGTTTCATCGTCACTCTCTCCCTTTGGTGCGTTTACCAACAAATTTTGTCGTATGGCGTTGAGGATAGTCACGTACGTGATGCTGTTTGCTGATGCAGGCCCGGTCTCAGCTATCTTTCCAGCAACGCCCCACAATGCATCCATATCTCCTGCTCTTGCACATACTTTCAACGCAGCATTTGTGTGTATAATAGACGGCTCGACGCGGGAATTGGGTGCGGAGAGGGAGTGGTACACGGAGAGAGCTTTGCTAAGAGTCCCTGAAGTGTGCGCATTCTTGGATAAACCGCGGAGTAAGATGGTGTAGGTATAGGAATCGGGGAATTGCGCTCGCTTCTTCATCTGTTGAAAGTCAGCATGGCGCCACACCGCTCATGTTTCCCAGACGTACATCGTTATACGCCTTGAGCGCGTCCTTGACACGCCCTTTGTCCAGATAGTAGTCGATGATGTGGTTCCAACTGACAATACACTCCATTGAGTGGCTGGCCATGTACACCAGCTGCAGCATCTCGTCCACCTTGTCCTTGGCCAATTCTTGCTTGACAAACACTGCGAGCTCCAATGGATCCTGCAGATGTCGCAATTCTCTTTTCCTTCTATTCCAGTCGCTGTCCGACATGCGGGGGTCACGCCGACCCAGTTTGGCCAAGTTGGGTGTGTTGTCGACTCTCCGTGCATGTGTTTGGCGTAGCGCCTTGGTTGCGGCTCTCTTTCGATTTGCCGCAAAGGCCGATTTCCTGAAGTGGTCCTCTCCATACTTGGAGGGTCCTCGAGCGTCGCCCAGGTCGGTGGGCCGTCCTTCTCCTTGTTGTTGCCATGAGACATTCCGGGTCGACAGCAGGCGGTGCAGGTGTGGTCTGAGCAGCGCATTCACATTGCTGCGCAGGCGGTGCGCACTACTAGCCGGGACACGGAGCGTCTGTGTGCATCGCCATAGGGACGCACGACAAGTAAGCATGAGGTCGGGCGGAAGTGCAGGGCGTTGTTGTGTACAAAAAGCGTAAAATTATCATCAGCCTCAAGGAAAAAGTTGCCCAGGATTCGCGCAGCGGCAGAATGGCCGGGCCGAAGCATGCAGCACGTGACGACCCGACACGGCGTCGCCCGATCCGAACGCCTCGAGAAGGCTGCCACTATCATGGCCTTGTGCGACTATAGGACAAGGAACCAGCGTTGGAGCAGAGGGTGGGACAAGCACACTACGGCATAGTGCCATGCTCGAAGGAGCCGCGGGCGTCTGGGCGGGAGTAGGATCCCAGCCTAAGCCAACATGGCGTGCCCACGCCTCTCCTAGCAGCAACCCAGGCCAGCAAGGCTGAGGGTTGACACTACTGGCATCCGAGTCTGCGGAGCCGAAAAGCAAACAAGCACTATAACGCGGGAGAGCCAAAGCCAGCGCAGGGCCATTACCCATCGTGGTAGGGCTTACGATCCTTTTCAACACACCCCCCAGCTCCCCAACCCAGGGCTGCGGGAAGGCAAACTAGAACCACCGTAGAAAAGAGCGAACTGGCTTAGGATACGCGCCCGCCCGCCCCCCCCAACTAGCGCATGACAGGCAGGCCAACTCTGTGCCCTTGTGCCTTGTCCTTGCCTTGCTTTGCCTTGCCTTGCCTTGGTTACTAAGACTGCTGGAGTCTAGCGACGACGGATGCCGCCCAATGCTCTGTGTGCCCTCTGATCGGTGGGCAGACCTGCACATCATCCAGCATCGGAGTTTTTTTGCCTCTCTCTCTCTCGCAGCACCCAGCGCGGCGGGCTCAGGGTCTTTTTTTTTGGATGGCGTAGATGTGTTGGCCTGGTCGCCGGCTGTTTGTGTGCTACGAGATTCCAGAGGCTTGGTAAGGCGCTGTTACAGCGAGGGTTGCGTGATGGGCTGTGTGCGAGCACCAAGTGGGCGCTTGGTAGGGGCATTCTTGCGCTGGTGTTGATGTAGTGCATTGTGGCCTTGTGGTATGAGACGACGTTGTGCTGTAGTGTGTGTGTGAGATGGTGATGGCTGGTTGTTGCTGTGGGCGCTTGTTGGAGTAAGACGAGTGGTGCAGAGACGAAGAACAACGGCCAGCCGTTATCAGCTGGCCAACACCAGCAGGACCATGACCAAGCGTGCAGGACAGGCGACAGTGGCACAGCGCCATCCACAGGCACGCACGCATGCACACGCACACGCACATGGACCTGCACATTCACCCCCCTCGTTCCTCGTGGCCACGGGAAGGGAATGCTGCAAGAGGCCAAAAAGACAAGCACGGCGGCTGGTGCAGTGTAACGATGGGTGGATGTAGCAGTGGTAGTGTAGGAGTAGCACAGGCAGCTAGCAGTAGCCACCGTCAGCTTGCCGACTGGCGCGCCGTTGTGTCCCTCATGCCAGATGGCGCTGCCGTCGCGTCTGGACGGCACTGGCACTGGTGCTGGCACTGGCACTGGCACTGGCACTGGCACTGGCTAGCCCTCTCCAACGGTGGCTCCCCAAAACAAGACGATTGCCTTAGCACCCGTCCGGGGCATTAACACACATGTAGGTTAATTCGACAACGGCTCATGGGCCACTAGAGGGCGATCTTGCAGATGCGAAAAAAAAGAGGCTTGTGAGATGCTAGCGTGTGTGGCTGGGCTAAATATCCTCTCCGCCTCTTTTGCTTTGCTTTTGCCTCGCACTCGGACGCGGCATGAATCTGCGTCTGCTCTACAGCTATGGGCAAGGGCAGGGCGTGGATGCAGCAGGGGGGAGGGGGCGACGCCTCGGCCGACGCCATTCTTGTGCTTCTTTGTTGAGCTCGCCATGGGCGGCCCAGGCGGTGCGCAGGTGGCCTCTTTGCTTTGCTTTGTCTTCGCTTGCTTGTCGCGGGTGCCGTTGTTTTGCCGCGTGGATATGCCTCCGGAGAAATGGGCCGTCCATGGCTGATTCATGGGCATTCGGGCCAAGCTGCCCGACTCGATGGCCGTGCCGTTCGCCCACCATGTCTTGCAGCGGGAGGCGAAAGAAAAGAAGAGAAAAGGAAAAAAAGACGACGGTCCACAGGGGGCCGGGGCCAGGGCGAGGCCACGACGGGGCCGAAAGCAAAAAACAGCATCTCGCAGGCCCTTGGATTGCATCAGGCGGGCGTCTGCCGTCGGCCACGGCCGAGTCGGAGGGTCGTGGTCGCAGGTCGCGTCGAGGCGGCCAGTGGGAACGGAGTGGGTGTGTGTGTGTGAGTGTGTGTGAGTGTGTGTGAGTGTGTGTGAGTGTGTGTGAGTGTGTGTGTGTAATGACACGGAGGCACAAGCCGCGCGCATCCTATCAGCACCCGACGCAGCCCCAGACTCGCTCGTCACACCGACGCACACACAGCAGCCTTCTTTCACCCGCACCGCCGCCGACATGTCGCCAACCCCCGCCCGGCCTCTCTGCCTGCGGGCTGCGGGCTGCGTATCATCTGCACACGATGCTGTGTCTGAGACGCCATGACTTGCGTCAGACATCAACTCTGCTTTACGCGCCTTCCTCTTTGGTCCCGCGCAACCAAGATGCACGTCTCCCTGGGAACAGCACCCATGTCGGAGCATGTGCCCAGCACACGTACACCTGCCATGTACTGTGTCGCCTTTGCAATGTACACTGCACCTACACCTACACCACCGTACACACATGCTAGCCCCGAAACCCGAATACGAGCACACCCACCCACGCCCTCTGGCCCTCGGCTGTGCGTCATAGACGCGAGTACGCTGCAATACGCCCGCACACGCCATCCACCACCAACCGGCCCTCCCGATGCCGACACCGCCGTGCCACCGCGCCTCTGTTCGGCCTCGCTCGACCCCCGTCTCGCCTTCGCCTTGCAGCAAATGCGCCAAAAAGGAACACAAGACTCGATATTCCCAGCAGCGAAACAAAATACATGCCGCCTGATTGGCCCAGCCCGCCACGGACAAAAAGGCAGTGGCATGACAGCCGCCCCTTTGCCCAAGTCGCCCATCCCTGTCCCCACCCAATCCGGCTCCGGATGCACCATGTGCATGCCATGCATGCAATCAGCACCAGCGAACAAGTCCGTACCACCGCCACACACTCACACTCGCCATTCCCATCTTCTGCACAAACGCATCACAAGGAACAATCAGACCGGGGTATCGGTGACATGGCCCCGGTACGACCTTCCCTGCGCGCCCCCCTCCCCCCCCCTCCACGATACGTGTAGGATAAGCATCTCACTGGCTATTCTTATTGGCTTCCTGGTCCTACTACCTACACTGGAGGCGGAAGCGGGGAAGGGCGACAGCAGTCGTGGTCGGAAAGCAAGTCAAGACAAGCCATGTTTGATTGCCTCAAGGCCGCCATGCAACAAAAAAAATGGTTCGACAAACCTCCACCTACGGCAGAGTGGTCTGATTCCTGCCTTTTTTTTCTGGCCTGGTCGTGTCGTGTCGTGTCGTGTCTTGTCGTGTTGTCCGCGCCGGTTGCCGGTAATAAAGAAGAGGACGACAGGGCAGCAGGCCAAGCGAGGGCAAGGGCATGTGTGAGTGAACGACCGTGACCGTGACCGAACCGAGCGTCGTCGTCGTCGTCGTCCGTCGCTCGCCTGTCTTCCGTGGCTTTCCTTTGCCCCTCCCATGCCGCCTTGCCGTTTCCAGCCTTTTGATGCGTCGTCGTCGGCGAGATGCTTGGGCAGACGGGCGCGTTTCTGTGTCTTCCTTGCAATAGCCAGCAGAACATGTCGCTGTCGACATGCGTTACGTGGCAGGGCCTGGGCTGCGTGCCTCTTGTCTGTCTGTCTTGCTCGTCGCCTTCTCTGTTCAGCAGTGACCGGCACCTCGTGAGAGGCGCCAGGGCAGGCCAGGGCAGGCCAGGGCAGGCAGGTAAGCAAGCGTGCATGCATGCAAGTGATTTGATTGAGAGACAGATGGAACAAGAGAGCCCTTGACTAGGGTGTCATGGGCGTGGCGAGGCGAGGCGAGGCGATCCAGCTGCGGAGACAAGGACAGGGGCCGGCAGCATGAGAAAGCGAGAGACAGCGAGAGAGACAGGAAAAAGGCCATGGACAGCCATGTCGGTAGGGAACAGCCATGCAATGCACTGCATGCATGCACCATCGCCTGCCATGCTGCATATTCAGCCGAGAAATTCGGCGACAGGGACCCTTTTTTTTTTCTCTCTGCCC